ATAATAACACGTAAAATATTTGAACAACAACATAAATTAAAAACCACTTAGAATTACACGTCAAATTTTTATGTGCATTTCATTTATAAATGAAGGGTGGAATTCATTTCATTTATAAATGAAATGAACGAGAATTTGTATTTGCAAATGAATTCTCTTGTTTGGAACAAAAAAAAATTATTAGCCAAATCATTCATTTGTAAATACATTTTCTGTTTGGAACATATGTAGAATTAGAATTGTAGTTTGTATTTTACTTAAATACCCTCTAGTTGGTTGAAAGGTAATTGTGATATAATACAAAGACAAAGGCAATATTTTTACAAATAATACAAGGATCTCATGCCCATATAAGTTGAATATATCTCGTTACATCAATATAATATCACAATGGTTGTCTATATCATGTTACACGTCCAAAAATTGTACCATTATATTGGCATAAATATTTTGCAGCCTATGCAAGCCAAATAATTTAAAATATAACAAACATCCAACATTAGAGATTCAAGTTTAATCATCCATACTGCTAATTATAACAAACGACCCATCATACTTTAAATCCATACTAATGCTAATTCTAACAAACAAGCCTCACTTTAATCATCCATCCTAATTCTCATCTTCCTTCTAAGCCATGGTAGCTTGATTTCATCATCACATGCAAAGAACCTATCCACCAATGATTGATCATTCTCTATTAGGAAATCAAGTGCATCAATCACTTCCCACTTATCCAAACCTAATTTTTTCAACTCACTTGCAATTTCAGCAATCGAGTAAATACAATGACTTATAGTCTTAATAGCATTGGCGATTTCTTTCATTGAACAAGTAACTTCACAATCCCATGGGCAATTTTACCACTCATGGGTTTTTTTCTTTTCCCTTTGGAAGTAGCCTTTGATTGGCTTGGAGTGGATGAAACGTTATCATGACCAATTAGTGAATCTTGAGCAATAGGTGAATGCTCCATTGGTGAGTGATGATAAGTGGCGGTAAAAGGATTGAATTGTTCAAGATAGACCTCATTAGTTGCTTACATGTTATCTATGTCATCAAAATTAATTTCTTGCAGTTGTGGGGTACTTTGTTGCTCTTGTTGCCACCTCTTCATTTTCTACTTGGCACTCTCCGCACCACCTCCATTTGCTCGGTCTTTCTCGAATAATTCACGAGCATTCTCAAAAAAATAAAGTTCCTTGTTACACACCAACTTATAATCCGGCTTCACCTATAAAAGAAGCAACAATATCAAGTATTTTATCCACAAAAATCATTTCCAACTCACACTATTATTATTATGAACTTACCTATATAACACCTTCCCACACACTTAGGGCAACATCAAGCTTTTTTTACGTCATTCCATCCAAATCCACTTTCATCCAATAGTTCAACCGATAGGGCAATAAGTTTTTGGATAGTCTTTAATCTATCACCGTCTTTGCCTTGTCAACTTTTTTTCCAATCTTCTTAAACTCCAAGTTAAGAGTATCGACAACCACCTTCCAAGCTTCTTTGGTAAATTGCTTCTCATCTTTGTTACCTTTGGTTTTTCATTTTTCAAACAATCAAAAAAAAAGTTGATCCATTTCTCTTGGCCAGCTAAGATACTTATCCATCACTTCAACACCATTAACAATCTCAACATCATTTCTACTTGGTGTAGCCATCTACTCTTAACAAATATATGCCATATAACAATAAATTTAAAACTCTTTAGTTTATTAAAACTAAATTAAAATAAAATTAGCAATTTTGTCATCACATAATAGGTTTCAAGAATAAATGAAGTGTAATTTAGTTCAACATAAATGTGTTCATCACATAATACATTTCAAGAATAAATGACATGACCTAGGCATTAGATATATAATCACTCCATATATGGCCAACTATGTCGTCTCTCAATTGCTCTCCTTCTCTAAGCATCTCGTGGCTCTCAACAATCAATCATTATCATCTATTGCAAACGAATTTTGCATTAACTCATTATCTACCTCCCACAATATATCTTCATCGGGGTCATACATAAGAATAAAATTATGTAAAATGCAACAAGCAATCACAATTTTGAAATGGTATCAACATCATAATTTGGCTCGTTCCACTAGCTATAATTGGAAATCTTTTTTTCAACACTCCAAAGGCCCTTTCAATTGCATTGTGCAATGATGCATGTCGAAGATTGAACAATTCTTTTGTGTTCTCAAACGGAGAACGAGAGTACTCTTTCAAATGGTATCATGTACCTCGATATGAAATGATGTATCTTGATCTCAAAGGATACCCAACATCGACTAGGTAAAATTTATCTACGATGTATAAACATAATTCATGTGTGATTAATCACTTAATTTAATATTATTCATGTTTGTTGAACTAATTATATGGGGATATTGATGTAATTATCTTAGGGAACTCTCAACTTATTGTCCCTATTCATAGCATTTTTTAGAATTCTTGAGTCCGATGTCGATGCTTTCCAAGCAGGTAACACATAAGTAAATTTGAGGTCAAAATCACATGCCGCTAATATATTCATTGTGGGTATTCCTTTTCGCCGCTATATCTTGATGCGTCCGCTTTTGAAACTTTGACACAAATATGTGTCCCATCAATAACACCAACACAATTCTAAAAATTTGGCGAAATAATTAGCACTTTGAAGAATAAATAACACCAAGTAACAAATTGTGATTTTATAAGCCTAAGTTTGTAATACTACCTTAAAATAAGGATATAACCTTCCTTCACTATTCAATATTTGTTAAGGTATTGTGGATCCATCGAGTTATACCAAAAACACATCTTCAAGTGAAATGATTGATCTAAGCACTTGGTGGAAATGACGATTTATTGTCTCGCCACTCGACACCAACAAAGGTTTATTATGTGAGTTCGTACATTGTCGGATAAAATATGCAAAAATCTTGCAACTTGTTCCTCAACACAACTATATTGTGTGTCCTTTAATGACCCTTGTTGTTTTAAAATGTACACTAATGTTCTAAATGCATTAATGTTCATACGTAATACGATACGAGAATTTCTATTTGTTTCTAATTGCCTCATCAACTCTTGTCTAACATGATATAGATCATGATTAGTTTCTAATTGTGGCCTCTCCACATTATTTTGATATAGTTGAAGTAAGACCACTAAATACCCAAGCATATTCAACTAAAACTCGCTATTACATTCCTTTGAAAATCATTTATAATTCTTGAAAGTTAATACAACACAAAGAAAAAGCGATGAGAAGTCCAAAACTGGAATATGTTATCAAACAATCAAGGAAATTAAGGGGAAAATTAACAATTCTGATTTCAACACAAAATCAAACAACAGAACATCAACGGTCTTAATTTAGATAAGTGAACTAATAGTTGTTATTAATTACAAAGCTAATTACCACTATCAATATCTTAAAATTATTGGACAAAAATTATATATTGTTTCATGAACTACAAAGTGCGAGTAACTCAATAAATTCGATCGGCTCAATATTCCTCACTTTCGAGTCTATGCTTCTTTCTTTAAGATGTTACAAAAAAAATAAGAAAAAATTATAAAAATTCATCAAAAGAACAATTTGTAAGCTAAACTAATAAAATAAATAAAAAGGAGATAGAAAATATATAATGAGAAGAATTAACATCAAAATCTGTAAGTTAGAAAATGTAACTTATACGAAGTGTTTTTAAATATCAAGCCTTACAAAAATTAAGGACAATCCATTTGGCTATTAATTGAAAAATCTACTTTTTTGCTTGATTTAATAGATCGAGTTTGCTTCTCATTCTTTTCCTACACTACATATTTTTATCTCTTTTTTTAAAAAAAAAAAAAAAGACAAGAAATACTTGCTATGTTCACGACTATTTGCATTTATATTTAGTAATTATTTCTCTCACAAATGTTATCTATTAAATAAATAATTGTTCTAAAATTACAGATTATAAAAATTACGATTATTGAACTTGTTTCGAAATTCATTTCAAACATTATATGCGGGATTTTTAGATATTATCCCAACTCGAAGGTGCCTATTTTCTATAAACAAAAAATGAAGACATAAAATTTAAATGGAAGTCTAGAACATCTAGAGTACCGGAGACATAGACCGAAATGGATATGATCATACATTTGATTAATACATCACATTAATTCAAAGCAATTAGATGAAAAATTACTACTCCTAGATAATGCCTCCCGGATGAAAAATTAATTCAAAGCAATTAGAGATAACGTTTCCTACATGAAATTACTACACCTAACTTTACACATAACTTTCGTCGTAATCAACAAGAAGAAACAACATACAAACATCTCACACCATATGAAATTAATGCCGGATGAAAGAAAGAAAAACCGACTTGCACCACCGGATGAAAGAAAGAAAAAAAAATGAAGGAAAGTGAATAAAACTATAAGCAAACCCGGAAGAGCAAGTGAGCGAGAGGAGCCGAGAGGAGGATGAGGAATTGGACAGCGACGAGGGACGAGTTGACGGAATAAAAACGAACAAGCGGAAGGTTAGGGTAAAGGGCATATTTTTCAAATGAAAATATTTCTCAATTGGCATGGAATTCATTTGCAAATAACTCCTCTTGGAAAAGGAATTAGACAAAGCTATATCAATTCATTGATTTGGAATTCATTCATTTGTAATTTTTAAAATTGAAGCTTCCAAACAAGATATCATTAATTTGCAAATGAATGCATTTATTCCAAACACTATGATACCTAAAATGTAAAATTTCTCCATATGAATTACATGTCATTTAAAATCAAACTCAATTGAATTCCTAAAAATCCTTACTCAATTGAATATCTAAAAATCCCTAATCCTTCTAGTTTCAAACCCAATTTAGACTTGTCATCTATCATGCTTCGCTCATTTCATTTTTATCCAAGGATAAATTAGAAGGGAAACCAGCTTTCAAGTTATTTAATTCTGAGTAATCCAGCAAATGCAGAGCATTGAGGAGACACTACCGAGCAAGGGACACAGAGAGCTTCGGTTGGCCATCACTACCCAAAAACATATCTTCCTTTTCAACGGAATCCACATACCCGTTTCTTGAAATCCCATTTTCAATTGCAAGATGCCTCCATTTTCCCTTGCCAAAAACATGAACTATAACGTCTGACTTGTGTGATAGAACCCGACCAGCTTTTAGAATTTAGAAGTCCCTTCTCCAAAGCCATCAAGCAGCATTCAGCAAGCCGAAGGCACAACAAAGGCTGGTTGTAGAAAACTAAACTTACTTTTTCGAAGCAGCGAACAGCCAGTAAGGCTTTCCCCACAGACCAAGTGCTGCACTCTAGAAAGTAATAAATTAGCTAATCTGTTTTTGGGTTTTTCTAATCTTGTGTTGTTGATTTGATTTTGGGGTTTAAAATTATAGGTTCTTTGAAGTTTTGAATAAATGGAGAACCCAGTTGCAGAAAGTAATAAATTAGTGAAGTAATACTGGGTTTTGTTTTTTGAATCGATTTGATGAGAGGTGTTGAATTGAAATTTGTAAACTAAATTTATGCAGGAGTGCAAGAAGCACGTGTTGTGGGTTTGGGAGCATAAATGAGAGGTTATTGATACGTAGTTCATATTGAAGAGTTAATTTTTCAAATAGATGTAGTGGAACTCTAGATGGCTTTTAATCGATTCTGTTATTCTATTTATCTAGCTGAAAACGAAATTTTGTCCAAAAAAATTCTTACCTACTATTATTATTATCAAAAGCTAAATTCATACATTTTTCTTCTATTTAAAAAAAAATATTTAAAAATGATTAAAACATATTAAGTTCATAATTTTACGATACCCTTGGTTGTAATCATTAGATTTTTAATTTATTATTATGTGTTTCTTAGACTAATTGGTTCTATAGTGTCTTGAGTTTTGGTCATTAGAAAAAAAAAATCCCTAACTTTTTTTTCTTTTTTAATCTCAAACTTTTTCTTTAGTATACAATTAAGTCTTTTCGTTCTATTAACTAATTTCAAATGAGTTTTTTCACACATGAGAGTAATGTAAAGCTACATGCATTTACACTCAAAATAAAATAGAAAAAAAAACTCCAAACCCAAATTAAAATCTAAATCCCTAAAAATGAAAACCGTTTGGGAAATCATTCGATTCATAATCACTCTCCATGTTGTTCTTCCCATTCTTCTTCTCCTCCTCCTCCTTATGTTTCTTGTTTTTTGTAATCATTAGATTTTTAATTTATTATTATGGTGTTTCTTAGACTAATTGGTTCTATAATATCTTGAGTTTTGGCCATTATAAAAACGTCCCTAACTCTTTTTTTTAATCTCAAACTTTTTTCTTTGGTATACAATTAAGTCTTTCTGTTTTGTTGACTAATTTCAGATGAGATTTTTCACACGTGAGATTCACGTAAAGCTACACGCATTTACACTCAAAATAAAATGAAAAAAAAACTCCAAACCCAAATTAAAATCTAAATGCTCGAAAATGGAAATCGTTGGGAAATCATTCGATTCATCATCACTCTCCATGTTGTTCTTCCCATTCTTCTTCTTCTCCTCCTTTTGTTTCTTGTTTTTTGCACCAAAATCATGCTTTTTTGCGACTCCATTTCCTTCATTAGTTATTGCATGAAGGAATACTAGAATTAGAACCATCTCCCTCCTAAACTCTATTTTCTTCATCCACTATTTCAAGCCTTTTCATAAACTTTTTTCCTTCCCTTTTCTTTTTCTTTTTTTTTCTTGTCTAGACCAATAACATAAGAAGAATGCTAAACTCTATTTGCTTCATTTCCTGTCGGAGGAGTCTCCATTAAGATCTCACTTGCTTCAATAAGATAAGAGTCTACGTATAATAGTCCATATAAAATGTGTCCGTAGAACCCCAAATTTTAGTGTCCAAAACACCTCCCTATTTTTCTTAAATCCCACGAAATCACATACTTGGCCTTTCAAATGTTCAATCTCACTTGCTTCAATAAGATAAGAGTCTACGTATAATAGTCCATATAAAATGTGTCCGTAGAGCCCCAAATTTTAGTTTCCAAAACACCTCCCTATTTTTCTTAAATCCCACAAAATCACATACTTGGCCTTTCAAATGTTCGATATTGAAAAGTTTGGTTCAAGATTTTGCATCACCATAATCTTTCGGTTGCCAAATTGAATAACTTCCTTAACCAAAGTTTCGTCAAATTAAGGCAACCAACAAAAGCAATCTATTAATAATATTACCATTGAAGGCTATATAATCCATATAAACCATACGATCTAGAATTATCACTTCTTCAATCTTCTTATTTGCTAAATAAAAAAAATGAAGAAGAAGAATCACATTGATTTCATAACCTCATTCCTCTCGTATTTATTGTAGAATGACAAGATCCATTCCTTAAGCCCTACAAACCACACAATCAAAAAAAGAATAAGCGAGAAGAAGAATAGGAGTACAACATAGAGATGATGATGCGATAAATGATTTTTCAAGGATTTCAATTTTAGAAATTGCAACTTTAATTTGGGTTTGGAGGTTTTTTTTTTGTTATTTTATTTTGTGTAAATGTGTATAATTTCATGTGCTTGGGAGTGTCTCTCCTCATAAATGTGTTGTTAATTTATTGGATTACATGACTCTCATGTGTGAAAAAATTCCTCTAAAATTGATCAAAGATAGTAGGTGATACTTGAAACTTTATTTGCATGCATAAGGGTTACTTGGATTGCCCTTCATAGTTTCATACACAAGGATAAATTTTTCACGCAAGTGGAGAGATAAATTGTGCAAGCTCCAAAATCATAGTCCCTCGAGTGCCACCTCTCTCCTTCTAGTCTTAAGTTAAGGTACCAAAGTCTCGTGTGGGCTTAAACATAAGTCATGTGCAAGTGCTAGTGTGTGCAAATAAGCCACACTTCATATCTAAGCCCAAAGATTTTTTTTAAAAAAAAAAATCAAGATAAAAGCCATGCATAGAACAAATCTATTTCCAACAACAAAAAACATCATAGGCTTAACCACTAATTCTTCGGTTTAGTCATCATTTTATCACATGATGACCTCTCAACGATCACTAAAATAAAATGTACAAGTATGTTCATTATATGTAGAGTTGCCACCCAGCTTTTTAAAAACTAAAAACTAAGAAAAATCTAGCATTAAGAGTTTTAAATAAAGGAGTTGATTACACAATTAAAAAAGACTATAGTCATTCTACTATGCCCTCATAATGAGATTATCTTGTGCTATTAGCCTAAAAAATTCATTTAAGCAAGTCTATTCATGTATCCACATGTTTATCCTAATTTTTTTTAATTATTTGGGTATTTTCTAACCAATCCTAATAAGGTGATTCAAAGACTGAAAAAAGACTTAATTTATTACCTAATATGTCATTGGACCGTTGAAGCTCACTTGAAAAGGTATAGATCGAGCCTTAAAGCACATTGTCAATTTAAATAACCCAAACACCATGTAAAAATAGATAAAAATTAATATGAAATGAATACGGATTATAGGCCCAAATTCACCTACCAACCCATGAAATAAAAATTACAAGTCCAATATTTAAAAAGAAAATTCAAGAATAGGGAGATGGGCATCAAATTCATATCCACTCGCCATGCTACTTTTAACATACTAAAATTAGACTCGAGATCCAATATCTATTGTAAAGCCAAGTTTGCAAGATAATAAAATTAGTGACAGCAAAAAAATAAAATAAAATTAATATTAAACCAAATAAATAATAAAATAAATAATAATAATAAAAGGCTCGTCATTGAAACAAATTATGTTTCAAGTTCTACACCTACTCCATCTAGATTGACCCTACTCCATCTAGATTGACCTATTCCGACATCACATAAACTAAACACACAAAGTACAAGATATAATAAAATTAACATGTAAAGGTTCAAATCACATAAGATGACATCATGAAAATAAAATAGTCAATCGGCTTCGTAAGGTCCTAAATCTATTAATTCATATTGGCTTATTTTAGTTTTTTAGAAAAAAATTTGCTAACCTATTGCCAGTTTCATCATCGACTAATAGTTCATCGGGATTTTTTATATAAAAAATAAAAATATTATATAGTATGTCAAAACTTTAACCTATTTTTATTAAAAATAATGAAAAATAAAATTAAAGATAACAATATATCAAAACTTTAAAACTCATAGATCCCTAATCCAATAAGATATTCAATTTTAAAACACACTAAACATTAAAAAAAAATTAGATCCATTTTAAATTTATTAAAAATCACAAAGTGTTCAAAGTTTCAATCTCTTCAATTATAACCTTTAATCGAGACATTTTAATTCAATAATCATTCAAATATTCCATATTAATCACATAATTGACATTAGCAACATACAAATCAATCAATTTATGATACAATACAACAAAATTTGGATGAAAATTAAACTAAAAATTGAAGATGTAGGGGTGTAATTATCAAAATTAGAAGTTCGAAGACCAAACTCGGATAAACGTTCACCACCGACGATGAAAATTCGGGGAATGCAAGTAGGCTCCATAGTGATCAGAATCTATTACTACTTATGGTGCTCCATTTATCTCGTCCCGACAATTCCGTAAGTCTAGTGAGTGTTGTCAAGAAAGCCTCCTATAGTAAGCGGCCACAATTTCTTCTCGGCTTTTGTTTTGTCTTCTTCTTTTTAGGTCTTTTGTTTTTTCCCTCCTTTTGTGTGTGTATGCATGCTATTTATATGTGTGCACCTAGGGTTGGTCTAGGATTTTTTTCTATTCTGATTTATTTTATTTTATTTATTTATTATTGTTACTCAAACCTAAACAATCTAGCCTAATGCCTAAAATACGCATATCCTAGTCTCGGCCTAATTCTTTCATTTTTTTTCTATTTTCTAATTTTTTATGAGGATAAAAATAGAGTGAGGACAAATGTCCCCTTTTTACAATGCTTACATGTCAAATATATAAAAAGATAAATCTTCATACATCTTAACTTAGTAAACTTGTAAAAAAAAGGCATTTCTAAAAGAACAAATGGTCAATTATTACTCGTTGTTATCCGAAATTTATGAGACTTCCAAAAAATAAAAATTATTTGGATTTGTTTTGATTTAGGAGATAAGAGTTAATAAAGGTTTTGGAGTCGTCACCTAGTATCCGAAGGAGCTATAAAACCTAAAAAAAGTATTGAATTAAGAGATTTCAAATACGGAGTTAATTATGTCTTTAGAAAGATAATGAGCACCCAAAACACTCTTTTCGAAGAAAGATACCTTATTTGGTTTAATCCTAAAAATTATCTCCCGAGAATTAGTTTTACCAAATTATTTCCTAAGTTTATTTCAAAGTTTGTTAATTGTCTAAGTTTAATTATTATTTTTTTTATTTTTTATTATGACATCGTATTAAATTGAAGTCGAGCTTCAAAACCGAGTGTCTCGTTAATTTAGCATCGGGTCTAATTAAATCCTAATGTGACCGATATGTCGAGGAATGATCTAATTAGCTAATGATATTTAAATTTTGACTTGTATTTACCTTTGCTAATTTCTATTTTGTTTCTCTTTCTTTCTTTTTCTTTTTCTTTTTCTTTTTCTTTTTTTTTTTTACCAAAGTGTCAATACTAACGTCCGTTCCTATTAAATAAGAGACTTATTAGGTCAATTTGATTTTTCTAATTAACCTAAAATAAGAAAATTTTTATTAATTATAATCAAGATCCTATATGAAATCGTCATCAATCCATAGAATCTAAGAGACTCGACAATTCCATATCCTAGATGATAAACATAACAATAATCAAAATAAATTTAAATAAAATACTAAAAATACATCTTAAAATTCTAAAATTTTAAACATAACTCGAGGACAAGTAGAAGATACTCATATGAAAAAAAAAAAAAAAAAATCTAAAAACATTTGAGGACAAGTTAAACATGTAAAATGCCACATCAATCTGACATATTACTACTGCCTTAATAATTAAAACGCTTAATAAAAATCTAAAATTAATTCTTTTTTTGTTTTTGTTTTTTTTTTTTTTTGGTGGAATCTATTAATGTGTTGGATGTTCGGAGCATTGCAACTAGGCGTGGAACTTATACTCAATACTTACTTCATTTTAATGCCAAGCCTAGTTCCGAAGATGCATGGATTTCTACACATGAACTCCAACGAGATGGATGAAACTTTACGGCAAGACTTGACTTCAAACTCTCCCTCGAGTTCTTTTCAAGAAATGAAGAATGATGCAGGAGCTTAAATGCTAGGTACTTCAACTTTTAAAATTTATTTATTCTAGGAGTCTTCTATTTAATATGGTTTAATAAATGTTTGCTAGAAACTAAAAGTCTTATTGAATTCTGCTTTTTTTTAAAAAAAAATAAAATTATGGCCTTAATTGTCAGAAATTGTAATGGCCATCTTCTGTGCTATTTCCACATTATTTCAGAATGAATAAATCAGAATTTTTTCCTTTAAACACAAACTTTTATCTAGTAATTATCTAGTCTGGAGTTGAGTGATTCCTCCTAAACCATCAAGTGTATGGCTTGATCGCGCAAAGTGGCTTCTACGATTAGTAGCATCGTGTGACATACGCTACCATGATCGAGTGGCATCCCGAGACTATCTATTTCATTTTAGTCTCCTTTCCCTTTTCATTTTACCTTCATCTTGCTGGCCCTAAACCTGGCCTGCATCATTCTGTAGCTAGAAAAAGTATGGTCTCTTCCACCAAGAGAATGACCATAACATAAAGAGTTGTTTCGCCTTGAAAAACGGAAATCAAAAAGCTGATTTCCAAGGGCTACCTCAAATAATTTCTAAATAAAAGGTCGAATCTAGACCAAAGTAGAATAGGACCAAGTAATCACTAGGACGATGCTATCCTTAGAGGATTGTCAGTTGAAGACGAGCCTGGTAAAGAAGAGAAAACATATGTGAAGCAAGTTCTCACCACTTTATGAGCCCCATCCTTCAACCATGAACCCATCATGTTTACTCTCGACATTGTAGAGGGTGTGGCTTTCCTCTATAACGATGCTCTTGTCACCATCACGATCCTTGTCAATCATAAAGTTCATTGAGTTCTAGTGGACGATGATAGTGTTGTGCACATCTTGTAACAAGAAGTCCTTGACTTGATAAAAATTAACATTTCTAAACTTTGGCCAATTAAAACTCCAATTATGAGCATAAAGGGCAAATAAGTACTGAACAAAGAGGCTGTGGACATTCCAATCACCATAGGCCCCTTTTTTTTTTTTTTTTTTTTTGAAAACGTGACCCTTCGCTAGATCTTTGTAGTTATCAAGATGGATTTGGCATACAATGCCATTATTGGAAGACCCCTCTTCCATTTCCATAAGACAAATACCACCACCAGTACAAGATACCTACCCTTAAAATTTTCTATTAAAAAGGAAATAGCTACAGTCATAAGAAATTAGTTGACCTCTCAGAAATCTATCTTTTCATGTATGAAGAGAAAGAAAACCATGATAATAAACATAAAAGTGATAATTCTAAAAGAACATAGAGTACAGAACGAGGCTGCCGAAGAGCTAGAAAATATGATACACAGGAAAAGAAATTGCCAGACGCTTGGCACTTCAATCACATCAAGAGGTACCATTGATTGGCTTTATATGACATTCTTATAATGAAAATACTATCAATGAAAAAGTCTCTATTTTTCTTTTTTTTCACCAGTCACCTTGTCTGTGTATAAAGGACACCACCTTATGGGATGCAATTTTATCTTACTTAAGTATAAAGGCACCACTCTTCCCATTTCAAATGTCAGCTAAGTGGTTTTACCTTCTTTAGGTATATATAAAAGACATATGTTTCTTAGGTATGAAGCCATATCTTTCTTCAGTATAAAGGCACCACATTGGCGACCAACTTGAGAGATGTGTTTTAAACTTGAAGAAGGTTTAATGAATAGACAATCCTGCTGCATTTGTAAAACAAGATTCTAGCAGGTGCACAATTCAACACCTACTTAGACGAGTAGCCAAGAGCTCAGTCCTCAATTTTGAAAATCTCAAACTCCCAAGGGAAAAAAAGAGACGTAGAACTCGGTTCGTTAATCCAGCCCACTTCTAGATGGGTCACATTCTTCATATCCAATCCTCACACTATTCTAAAGGACTCTCGATTCCCGACTAAGAAAAAATAAGGCATTGGACCAAAAAAAACATCAAAAAGAAACAATTTCATTAATAAATTCTGAGTGCAACCTAACCCTACAGGACCAGGGAAAATGATTTTTCTAAAAAAAAAAAAAGAAAAAGACATAAAAACCTAGTCTATGTTTCCTTAGTCCATAATCCTCTTTGTGGCCTCCTTAGTGCTTTGAGGCACATAAGATTCCAACCATACATCTAAGGCTCCTTCTCGAGGAGGAGGAGGAGGAGGAGGAATCTGCTCATTTTCTCCAGGAGGAGGAAGATGAGGAAGCTACTTATTATCTTCATTAGGAGGCTAGTTGTTACCCTAGACGGGCACAAAGGCGTCTGGTATAGTAAGAAGAAACTTGCCCTCTGCAGCAGTTGCTGCATGGACGGGGAACAACCCATCAAAATCTGAAATGGGCTCATCATCGAAGACTTAAGAAAGTTCTACGTCTATCTTCTTGACTTTTTTTTTTTTCCCTAAAAGTAGACATCTTCCAAAATCTCCACCACCTCATCGGTGAAAGCATCGATTAACCTGAGAGTTCTACAAAATATGTTGTATAACTTTTCAGGATAATTTTCCACTGCCCTTAGATGGGTAGCCTCCTCTTGAGCAACATCTCTCTCTTGGGTCATAGTTGCCAAGGTATCCTTCAGCTTTTTTACCCTCCAGACAACATCTTACTCCAAAGCCACAAAGCACTTAGGGCTCTGTCTGCTTGCTGCTATTCTCTAACAGCGGGTTACTCCTAAACTATGGAGACTTCATTTTTTAGGGGCTTGGCTAAGGAACCCTCAATTTTCTTCAACTTTCCCTCCGCCATAGCATAAAATGATTATAGTTTTTTGTTCCTTGCATGAAATGCTACTCGGAGCTTATGATATGTCTCACTAGCTCCAAACATATCTTAATTTTCAGCTTTCAACATGTGAAGGTTGTAAGCTTGCATTTGGAAAGCCTGCAAACGAAACTGGAACAGTAGTTAGATAAATAAAGGTAAAAAAAAAATTGAAAAAAAAAAAAGGGAAAGATACTTACAACAAGAGTCAATTGCATGCCTTTCCTCATATGCCTGGATAAGGAGTTGTCTGCTCAGAGCTCTACGTCTCCAAGAAACATGAAGAAGTAGCCAAACAGACGAATAGTCTTCTCTCCACCCTTACCCCACAAGGTGACAGTATCTTGAAAGAGCTCCTTCCTCATACAGAGTTGTTCCTCTAGTAAACAAGGGGGTGAAGCTGGAGAAAAGCCAGTTTGAAACATATTGACAGAGTTTTCGTCAACTTTTTTCCTCCAACATCGTGTAGCCATGGAGCGTCTTTAGGAGAGAATACATATTGGTTTAGGAAAAAATAATATATAGTTAAAAGTAGATTAAAAGCAATACGAATATAGCTTTGGTAAAAGTAGATTTAATTAGAATAAAACAATTTTCTTTCGTGGATGATATTAACTACTCCCTCTATCCTAAAAGGATTGTGTTTCACCTTTCATACAATTTTTTAAAAAATTATTAATTGTTATATCATATTAATTTTTTTTCACCGTATTTTTCTAAAATACTTTTTATTAAAATTGTTAGTTATCAAATCTACTTTATATAAAATCAATATTAATTTAAGGAGAAAATCTATTCAAAATTAAGATGATAAAAAAAAATAAGTTAATTAACAATCAAATTTAAAACAATTACACAAAAATAATGAATTAATTATATTTTTGATTTATAAACTTATTAATTTTTTTCTAATCAAATATGTACTCTTTAATCTTTGTTATTTGAGTAGATCAACTTATAATTTTTTTCTAATCAAGCGTTTCTATTAACTTTCGTTAATTTTATGTTGACTTAGCTATTAACAACGCACGTGGTACCGACACATGGGCTCCATTGTCATTTGTCTTTTGTACAAACTTATAATTTTTTTTTATTTAAGTGTGTAAACTTTGATCTTTGTTCTTTGAATATACCAACTTGTAATTTTTTCTATTTGAGTGGTTCTGCTAATTTAAAATTGATGTATTCATTAAGTACTCGTCAAAGGACAATCTTATCTAAAAGCTTAAACTGTTAGGTGAGGCCTAAGGGTATAATTTATATTATTCTTTAACATACCTCCTCAAGTAAAATCCGTTAAGGCTTGAAACTTACACAAGCCCACCTTGTGTTTAATTAATTAAAAGAGAAAGTAGGGGTGGTAAGATTCGAACTCGTGACTTGTTTCATCATCAAGGCTCTAATACCATGTCAAATGACCATCTCACCCAAAAGTTTAAGCTATTAGGTGAGGCTCTAAGATATGGTTTATATTATTCTCTAATAACTACACATGTGAAACCGTAATATAAGTCCTATTATCAAATGTTTGTGTCCAAAAAATTATTACTACAAAATTAAGAATGGATCGACCAATAAATATATATAATTAAACTCTTTTTTAAATCAACTTATTTTATCCAAGCCAAATTTAGACCATCCTTCACTCTAAATTAAAACTCAATTTCGTATCGTCATATTTTAAACAACCACCATTCTTAGCTTTTTTTATTTTATTGAGAATGAAAATGAATCGTTGTCTAGGTGAATGAATACAACTAAGCTTTTATGTTTTAATTTTCAATCCTTTCTTTGCATCTAAACACATTTAAGTAATTTTTTTTCCTTTCAAAAAAAAATATTTTTATGTAAAGGTTATAAATATCTTATTGCTAATATGTAATTTATTTTTCTTTATTGTTGTTATCCGAGAATGAGAATGAAACATTCTTTTTTAATTTTTTTCTAATTGTCATATGTCTTGACTATAGACCCACATAACGGTTTTATGTGTGCAAGTAACACAAACATCGATCCGCAGTTAACAAAATCATTCAATTAAAAAAAATTACAAGTCGGTACACTCAAATAGTAAAGATCAATGTTTACACACTCAAATAGAAAAAAATAAAAAAAGATAATTTTATACGAAAAAAGCTAACAACGGGGTCCACATATTGGAGCCATGTGTGCGATTAATGGCCATGTCGGTATAAAATTAAGAGAAACAATTGATTAGAAAAAAATAATTAGAACTTGGT